AATTTTTGCTAATTAATAAACTAGTCGTGCGTCATAAACTCAAAATTCACGGGCGACCACAGCTAAGACATGTTTTTATATGTTCGTAGAATTTAAGAATGTAACTCAATTCAGTTCGCGAGATATAGGAGTTAGTACACTTTCCTACGCTCATAGCTTAATAGCGCATCGGTGTTGGTCGGTGGTGGTGGTGGTAGTGGGGGGGGGGGGGTTAACGCTGGTATACAATGCGCCAGTTGTGCTCAATAGGAGCAAGTGGCGTGGCGGGTCGGAACGGCTGGCCGCCAATATGCGCCCGAGGCTTACGTTATCGCTCCACGTACGTAGGTCAACAGGTTGTACACTGCGCGCGGAGACCATGCCTTTGTTACCAAACTACTTGTATCGTTCCGGTACCATGTTTGGGTTTAGAAACTCAGTGTGGGCGGTGGTGTGGTGCGGTGGCGACGCACCTGTTGGTAGAAATATGTACACGTCGTTCTGTAAAAGGAAGACAAGGTTTTTTAATAATATTCGCCAACCATACACATTGTAACCCACCAACATGTTATTATAAAAAACTTTTATAAATAATATAGTTGGTGGCTTACAATGTGTATGGTTGGCGGAAAATATGGTGTGTGTTGTATAACCGACATATGGGGGGTTGGAATGGTGTGTGTTTGGTAAACCGACATATGGTTGGACACTAAAGTTACAAAACCGGACACCATAATATGACTAGCCCTTATGTGGAAGGAAAAACGATCTTTATTGGCACATCACGAAATGACAATCGGGTGAACGCCCGATTACGCGCGGGCTCCCCGTCGCTAAACGACGCGTTTTAACTCGTCATCGACGCGCGTGATGTGTGACGATAAGAATCGGCGCTTTTGCTTGACGCGACGCCGAACATGTACGCTGCCGTTGCTGTGCAAACACGTGAATGAGACGCCGCGGCCAATCTGTTAAAGCCATCCATTCATCCGGCGATGCCGACGGAGAGCGAGCTGCGCGCCACGACAACGCTATTCAATCTTGCGGCTGCGCACTTAGCACCGCACACATGAAACCACATGACGCGGTGAATGCGGCAGAGTTGACGCGGGCGCACTATGAAATGAATTTCGAATTCGCGTGGTGGAATGATTGAATGAAGTCAAATATTTACGGGATAACAATGGCGTAACGAAAGGATGCGATGGGAGTAGAGGAACCTACGTCTTCTACGGTGCTATCATGAATGCACTCTAGTGAACAATTAAGAGGCAAAGAGTTGTTATCAGAGCAAGGATAGTTTAAATAGTAAGTTTCATCGTCCCTAACTTTCCAGATATAAACCGTTGTCAGACCGAGCCAAAGATTGACTTCTTCCCTAATGTTTGAGAAAAAACCGGTTGACGACGACGATTGCTTATACATCTCAATCATCACCACTCAGCTCTAACCTTTTTGGCTAACCCGTTGGCTGGTAGCCACAGGCACTTGAAGCATTCAACTGTAAAACACACGCCGCGCCATTGCGCGCACACTGACACATAATATAGAGTCAGCGTGTGCTCTACTTAGTTATGTGTCAGTGTGGGCGCAATGGTGCCGCCGCGCGGTGTTTACAGTTGAAATGCTTCAAAAGTGCCTGTGGGCTGGATCTTCCATAGTTATACTCGTGCACTATACCAGGTAACTCTCATCCTATAACGTCATGTGGAGTTTCGGTAGTGATTAGCGCGTCCATTAATTAATTAATAATAATTAATTAATTGTGATTAGAAGGTGACGCTGTCTTGCTATGGCGTGTGCTGCGCATGCTGGTCTGTTCATACGGCAAGAATGAATATTGCGCCCGCCACCACTGCTGTCAAAATCCAAAAAGGTCATTCCTGTCGCTGAGTTAATATTTTTAATTGATTTCCGTTTTGTTTGCATTGCGGCACATGCGTTGGTGTGATGTGTGTGTGTGTGTGTGTGTGTGTGTGTGTGTGTGTGTGTGTGTGTGTGTGTGTGTGTGTGTGTGTGTGTGTGTGGCGGGATCGCGGGGGGCGGGATCGGCGGGGGGTGGGATCGGCGGTCGGGGAGCTTTGTGAGGGTAATTTGCGGGTGAAGAATGTAATGAGCTATTCGCTGTGATTTCTCATGTTCACGCGTCACGTCGTTTGCAATTTTACGAGCTGCCGAGATGTTTATATATATACACATTTATGTGCGTGTTATGGCTGTGCAGGTGTGTGTGAATTTATAGGGTTTGTGATGCTTGCTAGCGCTGTGGCTTTCGCACGTACGTACGTGCGTGCGCGCGTGTGAGGTTTTGTGATGAGTGCGTTCGTGCGTGCGTTCGTTCGTCCATCAGTGGGCTCATGTTTTTATGTGCGTATCGGGGGGGGGGGCACGCGTGTACGTCCATATCTACATGCATGCGTACGTACGTACGTGCGTACGTGCGTGCGTGCGTGCGTGCGTGCGTGTGTCTGTGCACACTCACCCTGTCGTCTGCGTAGGTCGTGTGCTGCGGCAGTACTGCCAGCGTCAGACAGCAGGCAACCAGCATCACACATAGCGACGTCATCGTGGTGGCCTACAGATGTACACGGTAATCAACAATCTATGAAAAATGATGAACATCGCGCGTTAGTTGCACAATTTCAATGAGATTTGATTGCGGCCTCCTGTGTATAGCTCACGAATACAATATCACGAGTCAGGAGAGGCGGAGGGGTGATGGGAAGGAGGATGATGGTTGGGAAAGGAGGAGACGGAGGAGAGGCTGGAAGAAAAAAGCAGAGGGAGAAGTAGAATAGGCTCTGCATGGGAAGGCGAATCAGATAACGAGATAATGGAAGAAGGAAGATACGGATGAGGAGGATGACGAGGAGGGGGAGGAGGAAAATGACTGGATAATAAAGTAGGCGGTTAGGAGGATGAAAAGAATGAAGGGGCAGGGGATGGGGCAGAGGAAGTGTAAGAGGAAAAGGAAAATGAATGTATGTACTTATATACTAATTATGTACTTATATACTATAATTATTCTTATACGCTCATCTCCTCTTCTTTTTCCATGTTTCCTCTTCCCACCCAGGAATGGAAGAGGAGGGTGGGAAGAGGAAACATGGAAAAACATGAGGAGATGAGCGTATAAGGATAATATTAGTGAGGTAGAAGGAGAGGAGGATATGTGGAGGGGAGAAGGAAAGGCTGGTAGGAGGATATGTGGAGGAGAGAATGAGAGGCTGAGAGGAGGATATGTAGAGGAGAGAAGGAGAGGTTGAGAGGAGAATATGTGGAGGGGAGAAGGAGAGGCCGAAAGGAGGATATGTGGAGGAGAGAAGGAGAGGCTGAGAGGAGGATATGTGGAGGAGAGAAGGAGAGGCTGGGAGGAGGATATGTGGAGGGGAGAAGGAGAGGCTGGGAGGAGGATATGTGGAGGGGAGAAGGAGAGGCTGGGAGGAGGATATGTGGAGGGGAGAAGGAGAGGCTGGGAGGAGAATATGTGGAGGG